TTTAGATTGTTTTATTTTAAAATGTATTGTATATTTGATTGTCTATATAAATTTTGATTGAGATTTCTATCAATATTACCAATAAAATTATGACTATAATCATTAGTTCTACTTTTGTAGAGAATAACCAGCCTATACTCTTATCTAGAATCTACTTCTCTATTTTTTATCACTTATTTAAATCCATATTCTTTTTATTCTAATTATAATTTTTTTATAATCTATTTATAATCTATTTGAGAAAATTTTAGTATTTCTTGTGCTTCTAAATTTCTTAAAATTTTTTAGGCTATCTTGATAGATCCCATCTTGAACATGTTCAATAATTATGGTCTTCTATTATTGAACCATTACTTGCAATATTTGTTTTTTAGAATCTTAAATCCACTTAGTGAACCGAATCTTGTTGACTTTTTTCTCTCAAATATTCTTTTTCTTATCAGAATCTTCAAATACTTGACTTTCCTTGTTGTTTCTCATTTTTTCAAGAACATGATTTTATGGATACTAAGATGTTTCAGGGGAGGAATAAAGCATAAATGCCTGCCGGCCCCTAGACCTCTCGCAATGCAAGAATCGCAGTTCCTGTAAAAAATAAGTTGATAACTATTAAAAAACATTGATTTAATACACAGGATGTGCAAAAGATATATCATGAATAGTTTATGTCTTATTGATATGAAAAAAGACAGCTACTCAATCGTTTAATTAGTCGTTCCCTTACTCTCAATATACAGTATGATAAAGAATTTTGTCGCGTATAACAGCCAATCAGAATACAAGATCAGGTGTAACGTTGTTTTTATTTATAAGTGATCAACGGTCCTAGTACCGTTTCTTTATCGTTTCAGTATTTTTCGCGCAATCTACAGCAATAAATGAGTTATACCCTGGCCAAAGCAGGTGATGATAAATAGCCAAATGATACAAGAGAACAAGAACTACCTTCCGATTAATCTGATTGTGTTGTAGAGCTCGTTGCCTACCTCAACATCAAGGATCCGTCTTTTTTGACTTCCTTTCCTCAAATTTTGAAGTGATTATTAATTCACCACCAGACACCTACGATATTAAGGGTCTTGCTGGCACTCGGTTGAAACGTTTCAGGCTTAAAGTAGAGGAAAAAGGATACAAAGTATCTAAGGTGAATAAGTTTCAACTTAGTAGAAGGCACCTCCTGCCAGGTGATACCTGAGATATGGAGTATGAGTAGTTTACTCGCCGAGTGTTAGGGGGTTTTTAAAAAATCTTGCCAGGTGCTACCTGAGTCAAGAGGATCAGTAGACTTACTGTTCCCCCTATATGCGATCTTTCTTTTTATTATGTTTTTTACCATTAACCTCATGTGAATGGATATTTTGTTTTACTAACTATGAATTAACTCGTAATGATAATAATAATATTAGTATACAAAAATTTTTTTCGCTCGATTGGAGGTTGGTGATTCCAGATTTGCTAATACCTTTTCATTGGCACATTGACACCTTTAATTATGATTCAAGACATTGCAATAGATCGCACGACAACAAAATGTTGCAATTTTGAAGGTAGGTCTGAAAAGATTTTACACCAATAATTATTGGCAGGTTTTTAGAACTTATTCATAATTCATATAATTAGTCGAAGGTTAAGATTATTGCGGACGAGCAAGGTATTAACCTCGTGCATCATGTGGGTTTTACGGACCCGAAATTATTGCAGAATATTTAAATAATCAGCAAAATCCAAAGTGTGACCTGAATGACGACGAACATATTTAAAGCGATCAATTTTTAAAGAAAAGACGAGGTGCGGACGATTATGGATCAACTCTTCCAAACAAGGTTAGGATATAACTTAAATTTAACTAGCAAAAAACACCTTGTAAATTTTTTGCATATGTGCATAGATAAGAACTATCAACGAAGGGACTTCTCAACGAAAAGATACGATAGTGATTCACCACCCCGTGAATATTATCTTTCATCAGACTCTGACTCCAAGATCGTACCTGTTTCTCTTACGAACGCCTTTCTTGAAGCTTCTGTAGAGTTTGAGAGTATTTTAGACCAGACAGCCGAATCGGATGTACCTCGCACTCCCCCTCCTCGTCAAGCCCAAATTCGGTTTAATAGCGAGGATAACGATTTACATGATCAAGATGAGAACGAGAATGCATCAAATGAGGTTCAAGACCTCATCGCAAAGATGAAAAATGCAGAACATCGTCTTTTTGAATATCGTATTGTCAACCTATCCGAAGAAAGTCTTGTAGATCCAATAAATAGTCTTTTCGGATGATGATAAAAAAAGAATGAGAAAATTCTTGGATGAGGTATGTATTATATTAACTATCAGCTTTGGATTGTAATCAGTAATAATCTTGCAAGTTCTTTAGATGGAGCCATCGGCAAAAAGAGCAGAATACACTGCGTCGACCTAGGTGGGAAAAGAGTATCAATCCTCAAATTGACAAGTATGCGCTTGCTGTTGAGGTGAAGCCAGAATCGGTTTTTGATGATCATGTTCAGCCACCGTCAACAAAAATTATCCTCGAAATACCATTCGAGGGCAAGTTTGATTTCAAAAAGCATTATGACATGTTATGGGTACAAGATATCTACCGGCGTTTGTAGGTATACTGTATATTTTATTACTTAGTATAATGAATTAATTAAATTCTGTATTTTATTCTAGTATGTTCTTGTTCGCTTTATCTTTTAACATGCTTCACGATGCAAATACATTGGAGGTAGCTTACAGAAAATCATTTGTTAATCCTATAATTCCCAAGGCATTTGAGGATGTGAACGACAAGATCAGGTTCGAAATGTATGTTATTATATTCTATATAGTTTTAATTTATTGTATTTATACCCGATGTAACGAACTCTTGATTAACCGAATATAATATTTGCCTAGTGGAGAGATAGAGAGCGCACTACGTAAACAACATCGAAACCAGACAAAAAGCCAAAAGCCTCGGGTAATGCTTAGGTCAAAACATGACGGGATTCTAAAGATTTACATGAATGCAAGTGAGATAGAGATTGGATACTTTAGGAACCAATTATTACTTACTTATAATATCTATAAGTTTTTGAATAGAGTCCTTATTTTTAAAAAAATAATGTAGATAGTATTTTTATAAATATTAATTGAAATTTTATGAATATAAATTAAAAAAATATTTATATAATAATCTCAGGTAAAAAATGAAATAATTTTTTTTCTATAGCTAGAGAGTTAAATAAAGGTCTTCAAATATTACTAACATATTGATATTTAGAATTTTATCAAAAGATAGTATAGAAAATATAACATTTTTATAATAGAACTTATCTGCGATATTCAATAGGTGGTACGATTATCACAGTGACATATCAGAGGTAAAAGTGATTATAGTGAAAAAATCATAATGCCGACCAGAATTATAATAATAATTCTACCGGAACTATAGTTTAATGTCAACCAGAGTTATGAACTAATGTCAGCCGAAATTGTAAATTAATGCCAGCCGGAATCACAAATCTTAATTTTATCAAAATTACAAATCTAATGCTAGCCGGAATTACAACTCATAATAAGTTTGGCAAACTTAAATTTGATTGATATTATGATTATCATATGATTAAAAGTTTGGCAAACTCAAGTCACCCTTAGGACCTCTCAAGAGGTAACTATATCATTGATATGGGATGGATTTGTTTGAAGTTCCTTCATAATTTCAAATCACTTTTGTTAAATTCTATTTTCTCAACACTTGACAAAATTATATATTTTTATTTCTCTCTCATTTCAAAAAATAATGTAGATTCCAACAACTTTATTTCATTCAAGTTATATCTATAACCTTGTAAAATTCCTTCATATTTGAGTATAAAATTTTTTGAATTTTAAAATATTTTTATTAATTTTAATATTTATTTTAATATAAATAAATTATTATAATTAAAATTATATTAATTTATAATATTTATTAAAAATAATAATTTATATATTTATCTTTTGTAATAGCAATATAAAAACTCTAACCCTAAACTATTGTTCTTTTTTAACTTGACATTTTATATATCTTTTCTTAAAATTATTAAGACTCTCATCTTTTTCAATATTCCATTCATTGATAAATTGATGTTCAAGTTTATGAATAATTAATCCATATTTAATAATTATAGTTTGCATATTATCTAATCATATTGATCTAACTTTTGCATCTTTATTTACTGTTTATTTATTTTAAACAACAACTGATATTATACACTAGTCAAAATTATGTCATTCGACTGCTGAATTATTACTAAATTTGACAAAAATTAATAAAAATATTGATGAATTATTTATGATTGCTGCCACTTGGTATTAAAAATATTGGCATTCTGCAAAAAAAAAAATCAGCACAAAATCTGACAATATTGTGGCAAAAAAAAATTTTACATATTGTGATAAAAAATTCAGCAAAAAAATTGATACTGCAGTAAAAAAATTAGTAAAAAAATTGATATTGTAACAAAAAATTCAGCAAAAAAATTTATATTGCAGCAAAAAATTCAGCAAAAAAATTGATACTGCAACAAAAAATTCAACAAAAAAATTACTGCGGCAAAAAATTTGGCAAAAAAATTACTGTAAAAAAAAATTTGACAAAAATTGATACTGCAGTAAAAAATTCAGCAAAAAAATTACTGCAGCAAAAAATTCAAATTTTACAAAATTTATTAAAAAATTACAAATTCAATTAATTAAATTATTCACCATTTTCCTCTTCCTTTTTCTTCTTTTTCTTCTTTTTTACTTGCTTTTTTTTTTCCTTTAAAGATTTCGGCTTGACTTTTTTAAAACTAATCCTAATTGGTTTTATTTTGTCAAATGTTTTCTAAGATTTTTTACTTTTTTCTTCTAATCTAACTACTCTCGAATTTCACCCATTCATGCACTTTCCTCAATTTGTTCCTCACTCTCTGAATATATTAATGATTCCTCATATTCAATAATTTTTCATCTTTTGAATTTAATTGCTGATTTTTTTTCTTTTCCTGTCTCTTTTTCTTGTTCACATTCTAAGATTTTTTTCAAACTATATGTCCAATTTGACAAACCTTTTAGTGATGTTATGTTATAGAAATATGAATCATCATGATATTATTTACGAGTCAACTGGAACACTTAAATTGATTTCAAATGTTCATCTAAATATATCAACAAATCCTTTAACTATAAGAAGTAATTATAATTAATATTGTAATTATTTGACATATAATATTTTGCCAAAAAATACCTCTTCAGAATGCCAACTGTAATTATATATATTTATTCTTCTTTTAATGAAGTTTCCCAGATCAGTGTCACTTTTTTCAGGTGAATATACCTTTGTTTCTTTAAATACATCAGTTAATTTATTCCAATATTTGATAACTTTCTTTGATCTTTGTTCAATAAGTGACTGTGCACTTTTAATTCTTCATACCCTTTTCTTAATAATTCATTAAAAATTAATACTTGAAGGTAGTATAAATGTAGAATATTATTAATCTTACTTCATTTAACTGGCTATTTGCATGTAAGCGATGATTGTTTGCTTCTAGTTTTCCAGTTTCTGTCTTCCGATATCTTTTTATTTGATGGCAATATAAAGCACCTAACTATTCATTTATTTGCTTTTGTGAGGGATTAAAACATGGGGCCATGGATTTTATTAATTCAGATATCAACTTTTGTAATATTTTTTTATTTACATCACTTGAAAAAACTTCATATACCCTCAGTTTATATTCGTTAAGAATAGTTTTTATTAAGGTCTTCATTTCTGCTCTCGCTTCTTCTAGTTTTAGCTCATTTTTGGTAACTGGTTTTACCAGTTTTGCCTCTTTATTACTCCTTCTAGGTTGAATTCTTGGATATTTTTCTAAACTTGGCAAACTTTCAGATTCTGATATATCGATTGCTTTAGATTTTACAACTACTATATGATCAAGTTCAAGTTCTACAAATTTGAGCTGATCAATTTCTTTTTTTAAATCTTTTATTTCATTTTTTCACTATTCTGATTCTTCAGAAAACTTGTTATTAATATATTTTATTAGGTCTAATTGTTTTACAAATTTAGTATTTTCTCTTTTTAATGTTTTGACTCACACACGTAATTCTTCATTTTCTAAATAAATAAGTTGATTAATAAAATAAATTTTAATAATTCAGCAATAATTTAATTTTAACTTTTTTCAATATTCTCTTGGTTCAAGTTTTGGGTGGCAATTCAACTTCTGGTATTGATATTCGTACAATTTCAGATGCCTGTATTTCAGGCAATACAATAGATGACCTTTTCCTAAGTGATTTGGCAGTGATAATAGGAATTAAAGATTCGGTACCAGGTGTTATTGAATGAACTGTTGCCATTTATAATGCAGTTGATATGAAGAAAGTTTGTAATGGCAGGGAAAGTTATGAAGGCTGCAAAAGTGAAGACAGCTATTCTCTGTAAAAAGCACGTCTAGTTGATTTTTTTTGTTTAGACATTTTAGGTATCAAAAAAAATATTATATTAAAGAGATATTTAAATAAAATTATTCATATTGTTTTAATATAATTCAGGCTGCATACAATATTATACTATTATTTGTTATATTATATTATAATTCAAAGTCACTTACTATATTATACTATATATTATTCATCATATTATGCTTGTATTATATTATAATTTAAAGCTATTTAATATATCAATCACAACTTTATCACCTTATGTTACTATTTACCAATTTTTAAAATATTAAGAAAGTATCCAATTTCAGCTTTACTAAATAAAAGTTTAAGAAAAAATCCTAAAAAATCAAAAATTACTTGCAATCGTAGTAAATACAATGAATCACTTGTTGATTTACAAACAGAATTTTTATATAGATATTAAAAAACAAAAGGTGAACATTTGACAAATGAAGAATTCACATTTTGATACAGAACGAGAAATATTTTATCAAGTCAAATTATATTGTTAAACAACAATCAACAAAATCTGAGATTGAATAATGCAAGTTCTGAAAATAATAAATCAGAAGTTGATGATGATAAAGAAATAGATGATATATTTGAATATTATTCAGCATCAAAATATGAATTTTCACTGAATTCTAGCAAATTTTTAGATAGTCATTTTATATTAATTTGATTGTGAATTATGAACTATAGAATTTGATTTAATTTATCAAATAGTGCAACAGATGCATGTTAAAATTTATGAAATTGGTACTAATTGAAATTGTTGGTGAAGAATTTGAGCTCTTTTATAGGTCTTTGTATAT